ACGGTGGGAGACACGGTGGGTGACACGGTGGGAGACACGGTGGATGAGAGGGCCTTTTGCTCTGCTGCTCCTCGTCTGTGGAACAACCTCCCCAACCATCTAATACCCCAGACTAGAGAAAGTTTGAAGAAAGGACTGAAGATCTTTTTATTTTAAATATTTTATAGTTTAAATTTATTTTTAATCCTGCCGTTTTTAGTTTTTGAGTTCGTTTTATTCTCTCTAGATGTTTTATATCATAGCACTTTGACATTGAAAAATATAAAGTGAGGTTCAAATTCAATTATTATTATTAGTTACTTGTTAGTTACTTGTTAGTTACTTGTTAGTTACTTGTTAGCTACTTGTTAGCTACTTGTTAGCTACTTGTTAGCTACTTGTTAGTTACTTGTTAGCTACTTGTTAGTTACTTGTTAGTTACTTGTTAGCTACAAAGTACCTCATTTATTATGTTTAGTTATATATTTTATGTTATTTATGTTCATTATTTTCTTGTTTTTAGCATTTTACCTTGTTTTATATGGCACCTTGATTTATTGTTTTATGACACTGCTTTTATTTTAATTGCATTTTATTGCTGTTTATTGTTGTCTGTCTAAAACAGGTCTCTCTTGTAAAAGAGTCCTTGTGACTCAGTGAAACTGACCTGGATGAATCAAGGTTGAATTTATTTATTTTTGCACTGGACTCACAGATCATCACCCAGAAACAGCACCAGCCATCCCACACATTATGTGAACGTGACATGTGCACCTACATGAAACCGTGACCTACATGCATGAATGTTTCCGCACTCGAGGAAGTGGAAGAGCAGACGGTGAGACAGTGAAGTGAAACCTGACTGTAGAAATTAAACGACGACTTCTCGTGCATTTATTTCAATTTCACGTCACAAATGACCTAAAAACGTCCGATTCATAATAAATCTACAAACTAGTTTTGGTGCTGGTGAGTCACATCGTCTCTACAACTGCTTTTCACTTGCCAAAGTAAGAAGTTAAGTCGAATCTTGAATTAAATTCCCCTCGGTACGGTCTCCGCAGCACATCCCCCACCCAGAGCGCCGCGAGTCAGCCCGCTGACACTCGCGCTGAGCCGTGGAGCGCACTGCAGCTGCAGAAATGCAAAGACGATGCAGAGATGTGGCAGGTGGTGGAATTCAGGAAAGTTTTGCTCGTCTTCCCTGATGTGAACCCAGTATAGACCGAATCCCTTTCACCTCAGACACATTTAGAAGGCCGGCTGAAGAAAATATCACCATCTGTTGTAGAAATTCAACAGCAATAAAAAACAGCAAGGCAGAGCTAGTTTGAATTAAACTTTGGGCTCTAAACATCAGATCAGTTCCTTTTATGTGTTTAAATTGAATTAAAATACTGGATATGTTGTAGCCCAGCTCAGTGCATTGAAATAAACTCTTAAATACTTTAAAACGATCTTGCTGCTGTTGTCCTGGATGGAAACATGAGGACTGCAGTAATCTGTATGTGAGCCCAACCTGTTCCAGTAATGAATCCAGGGAGCAAAGGTTCCCCAGAACAACATTGAATTGTGATTAAATAATCCATGGCAATACGTTCATCTGACAGCAGCTTCAGTGATGTGGCTGATGCATTGACCTTACTGCTAATTGGTTCTGGACCGGTGCCACCACTCCCTTGTCCCTCCAGTCAAATCTGGCCGGGAGCCCCTTCACAGTGTGTCCAGAGAAGGCGGGAGCTCTGCCGCCCACAGCTCGCAGGTAAATATCTGGAGGTGAAGACACAATTCAGAGTCAAGACTGAGCAGGTAAGCAGGTACTGTGGACTTAGGTCAAAAAAGAAAAGAGCTCCAAAATGGTCAAGGATGAGAAAAACGAGGTCATTTAAGCTTCTACTTTTTCTTTCTTTTTCAATTTCCTATGAGCAAAAATAGTGCACGCAACTAATTGAGTTGTGCAAGAAGCCAGCACGACACATTTCATCTTACCCCTGAATTCCATGTGGGAGAGGTCAGAGAACTGGTTGATGCCATACCTGGCAGACTGTGGTGCTGTAGAAAGAGAGTTCAGGTGCACATGTCGCAGCGTGGCATCCTGCAGAAACACAAGCAGCACAGGAGCTGTCGCCGTCAACTGGAACAGCTGCAGCATCTCACCTGCTGAAACTCTGACATCACGCCAGGAACAACTCACACGTATGTGGAACATGCTAAAACATAATGCAAAGCAAAATTATCTGCTACATAAAATAATGTTTAACTTTACACGTTCGCCAGCGTTGTTTAGACATCATAAGGATCGTCACTTTGATAGTGACATCATCACTGAGGTCTCCGTCTATTCAAAAAGGCCTAAATTTTCTTTACTATGAGCAGCTCGTGTTTTCTTTTGTATCAGAAAGTTTGAGTTGCAGTTTGTAAAATGACAGATTTAAATTCCATTTTGTTTAATACACAACATTCAGTGTTTGACGGCAGTGTGTTGTCGAACGCTGTAAACACGATCGCTCATTATCATCCGGCGCCAGAAGAGAAATGCTGGGCAGTAATGATGCTGCTCGTATCCATCTGTTACCAGTGTTAGCAAAATATCTGATGAACCACTGGACAGATAGAAATGATGTGTGTGGGCGACGATATGAACGCCTTCAGGGAACACGTGGTAAATATTAAGTCCTGACGAGCAACTGTTTTTAAATGACAGCTGAGCTCATGACAGTTGTGTGAATGTTTCTGAATCTTTCTCGGTGTTGATCCGTGTCTTAATTAGATTCTACTCAGTTTATTTCTATAGATCCAGAAGTCTTCTCAAAAACATTCACACACATTAAAAAGCCAATTAATAAAGTTCTCTCTCTGAGGAAGCAGCAGGTTGTGTTGGATCTTCTCTTCATCTCAGTCTCTCATGCTGAGCAAGAACAAGGGAGACAGTGGGAAGAAAAACTCCCTTTAACAGGAAGAAACCTCCAGAACCAGAGGACGAGCGAACGTCTGCTTCGACCGGCTGGTTTGACAGGACACGAAGTGGAAACAGACATTTTCCGTCCGTGTTTTTCAGTTTGCAACTCGTTCCTCAGGTTTTGCTCTATTTTAACGATTCATAAATAAAAACGCTCGGCTCATTCAGGACGTTCATATTTAAAATATTGAGCTTTGTCGGCCATGTTTATCTGATTGAAAATGCATGGAGGCGTCTTCTTCACATCCTTTGAGCTGTTTGAAGCCTTTTACTGCTCGTGTCAGCTGTTGTTCTGCTTCAGCTTCTTTCTGCTAATTTAATCTGTAAGAAAAAGATCAAAGCTGGATTGTTAAAAAAGTATATATGAAGCAGCTTAGTGTGTTTTGTATTAGAATTAGAAAAATTAGAAAGTTATTCATTTTGTTCTGTCACTTGAAAATTATTATGATTGAAATAATTGTTTGAAAAAAGGGGCAGATATAATAAGATGTTTTCTTCTTTCTGCTGCCTTTCATTTTAAATCTTTTGTATCTTTCTTTATATTGTTATGGAATTGTTTTGTACTTTTTTTTAAATGAATAAACTTTACATTTGTTCGATAAAGTCAGATTTTTTAGGTATTTTTCTGCAAATGTTTTTGTTCATTTCTGCTTTTTGAGTCTTTTTTTTAACCAACTTTTTATTCTCCTTTCAGTTTCTGCCAATCTCAGCTTTTTGATCTTTTTCAGCTTCTCTGCTTCTTCAGCTGTTGCACAAGAAACAGGAAGTGACGTCGCTCTAGTTTTCCGTTTGTTTTTGTAATCGGATTACACTGAGCCCAACAGCTAAATGACAGTAAACATGAGGAGCTAATGTCAGCTCTTGATATATAACATCCATAGATAGCATATAATCACTATAACATCTACCTGAAAACAGCGATGGCGGCGGAGAAGCTCGTCGCTGCTAACTTCACGCAAACGCAGAAACTTTTCCCTAAACGTCTGCAAATGTCCCGCAGAGCCGTTACTTATCTCCGTGGGAGCGTTGTGACAGCACGCAGCTGCGGATAAAACGCCTGTGAGCAACAGCAGGGCCTCCATTAGACGAGCAGTCTGTGGAGAACACGCACAGATAAATACAGGAAGCAGACATGTTGAATGTTCGCGGGGAAGACCGTGAGTACCGCGCGGCGCATGCGCAGGAATCCAGAGGCGTTACCATGGAAACGGACAGACTTTATTAAAGCGGGCAGCGTTAAAGTAAAATAAGGGTGTAAAGAAAAAGTCACAATAACTCCTGAATACTTACGATATCATCATTGATGTTGTATCCTAACTGGGATCTTTTTAAGTAATATATATATATTTTATTTTTTAAATATTTGTAGCTTTTATATTGTTTACAGTTTTACTCCATTATTTTGTATTAGGTGGCAAATGGGATGAGATGTGTTCAAAACGACTTAAATCAGTTCCCGTGTATGAAAAACAAATTTCTGTCATGATCTGGTAGAATATATGTTTTAAAAACTAGACTGGCGTAGTTTTTGTGCTGCTGTGTGGGGGGGTTGGTTGTTTTGTGACTGAAACAGGTAAGTTTGACATTGAAACAACTTCTGTGCCCCCACACCCACGCACAGAGCACAATAACAACAATATGTACTCGCAGGCACAGTGGCAGCTGCAGAACATTTGTTCCAGCTGCATTTTGTCCGGACCGGCCGAGCAGAGCGCAGTGGAAGCACAAGCAGGCTCCTCTGGTGTCTTCTGGAGGAACGTCTCATCCAGCTTCATCCTAACCAACGCTGTTTTGAAGCGTGCCCGAGGAAATGTCAGAACCAACGGTGGAACTCACCAGCAAGCCCTTCGCAGTCCAGTTGTCCAATGTCTACCTCAGCATCTTGGCTCTGTTCTGCTTCAAGCTCTTTGTGAAGATCTCCCTCAACTTGCTGACGTACTTCTACATAGTCCGGGGAAACCGTAAAGAAGCTGCCCGGATATCAGCAGAGTTCTACGATTATGGTCCGCAGCACGGTGAGTATTCAGAGGCGACTCGTTTTTAAAGCCAAACACTTTGTTGTTGCTTACTAATAGTCGTGTCAATGAGAAGCGTAAGAGTGATGCCGCCTTCAACTCACACACTAGTGACACCTCTGACCTCGGCTGGATAAGGTCAGACGCAAACATGCACATGAAAGTGAACATACATGTTGTTTACACACAGGAGGAGCTATAAATACGGCCTCACGGCTTCACATGGTGAAAAACCAATAATTGTGTTGTCATGAATACATGAACTGCAGCAAGCATGACTCTGCATCCACTTTTCATTTCCACTTCTGAACCCTAAAGTGTACATTCAGGTTTACATGAAGTCACCGTCGGCCCCGCAGCTCTTCCTCTCTAATGTAATAATAGAACAGTCATGATATCTTCCCCAGCCCTCCCCACCCCCAGCCTGCCCTACTTTCCATTCCCAGCTATGCAGTGCACCCCATCGCACTGCAACCACAGCAACACCACGTTCTCAGGGACAAACGTTGAAAGACTCGTTCTGGGCCAAGGCAGACACGACAACAACATAATCTGTAGCCATCGTTCAAAGGGAATGCTAATGAGCTAAACTCTGGATATTAGTCACGCTCCTGTTCACGTGCTCTGCCTTGTTAGGAGAAAGCTGTTTGATGTCTCGAGTCCTCTTTTTATACGTCTGTGTTTCAAATGAACGTCAGTCAAGGAAAATGTAGGCTGCACGAGTAAAACTGTGACTTTTGGAAGAATGTTGGCCGATTATTATCTATAATTTAGTTGACTTTTATCCATAATTCTTGAATCAAATAGGGAAGGAAGATAATGACGATGAGAGCGTGTGGAATGCAGCAGCTGTTATTCTGGACATTGATTCAGGTGTGCCTGAGGTGTGTGTGTGTGTGTGTCTGTGGGGGGGTTAGAATTAATAGCTACAACCTAAAAAATTAAGTCAGTTTCTTTTTGTTGAAACGTTTTATCTTTTATCTAAAGGACTTCCTCAGTCTGTGGAGCTGCAGCAAACTCAGTCTTATAAACATCACCTTCTCATGGTGGATAAAGTTGTTGACGTCCAGAACCAGCTGTTCACATGATGATGGAGGACCATCAGACCAACGATGGATCGTTAATGCTATGCTGTTGCGATAAACAATAAATCAATTAATCACATGATAAATGAAAATGATCAACCTTGTTTTCATTTATCAGCTTTATCGTTTCTACATGTCTCTCTCTTTCTACTGAAGACACTGGACGACAAAAGGCTCAACTCCGGTTCTTTGCTGACCCCTCTCTTTCGCTTCTCTCTTTAAAATCTGTTTTAGCGATCCAAAATCACGTTTTTGGATCGCTAAAAGCAGCTAGCCTAAGAAGCTAAGCTACGAGCTAAGCTAACAGGCTGACCTCGGGGGGGGGGGGAAACCTTCGTCTTGTCGAAACTCCAAAATTCACAGAAGAAACTCGTGCTTTTGTGTAAAAACTTGTTTTTCTCTGCAAAAAGAATCTGAGAACTTGTTTAACGATTTTTTTTATTAAAAGCTTTGTGTGAAAAATGCTAAAGAGCTAAACCACACAGAGCGTCCGTCATTTTGAGAACCGAAAAACAGGAAAGAGAGACAGCCCATGTCACGTCAAGGGGCCTCCCTCCCATTTTTCTTAAAAAGACACGCTGCTCGCTCCCTCACTATCCATCCTTCGATTCAAACAGTCTTATACTGCCATCAGTTGGTCGAAAAAATCTACCACACACAAAAAATAACCATCATTTCTTCTTAAATTTGACAATAATTACTAATTATTGTCAAATTTCAAACAATATTATCGTTTATCGCAATATTTTCTGAGACAATTAATCGCCCAGCAAAATGTATAATCGTGACAGGCCTAGTTACTGCCTTGTTGGCCGCTTGCTATTCACAGAGGGCTGACTTATACTAGCAATAGCAGCATTGTAAGAGTGGGACAATGGGATAATTAGAGAATGTGCTGTTTATAAGACTGTTTGTTGCAGCTCCTCAGGCTGTAGAAGTCCTTTGGATAAAAGATGAAACATTTCAAGAAGAATCCGTTGGAGGACCTGACTTTAGTTTTTTTGATTTTTCTACCTTTATTATTGAGCAGCATCAGGAAATAGCTACAAGCTTATGTAAATGTCTGTCAATACTGACTTCAAAGCATCAATAAAACTGCTGCGCTCTTTAAAAGCCATGCTTGTGTTGTAGATTTGAAACGTGTTGCAGTTCCTGTTCTGAGTCACAGAATCCAGGAAATGGTTATAAAACCAGGAAGAAGCCAGCACTAAATTGATTTTCTTGTCACAGGATCCTGGGCAGACCGCTCACCCCTCCACGATGCTGCCAGCCAGGGCCGCCTCCTGGCCCTGAGGACCCTCATTTTACAGGTGAAGGGAGACCCTCTGAGGGTAATGTGTCTCCTTATCTGCACACATGGAGTCTTTAGTTATCGCCTCTTGTCCCGTTAAATTGTGCTCAGCACCTTTTGCCGATCTGCTGGCTGATAAAGTGAAGTGAGAATCAAAGAGTCGGGATTAACAGTTCTCTGCAGTTCTTTATTTCTTAAGGGGAGATTATTGTCACAGATGATCATTTATTTGTTTTTCATAAATGTAAAATTACAGTATGGTATGCAAAGTTCATCTCTTGCCTCATTTATCCATTACGTGCTGTGCATGACGAGATCCATGTGGCAACATAAATCTGAGTGTTGTCAGTCATATATATTTGAAAAGATCAAAGATAAAACTTAGACTGAAGTGTATCAAACGGTGCAGTCTATCAGAATCCCTCCAACAGTCCTCCAGATACATTGAGACGTAATTCTGAAATGTGTGCATGCTCTCCATGTAAACAAAGCACTTTTATGAAACTAATCTGAACATAAATATCAACCGTTACAACAAAACTGTTGAGTTTCTGATTCCAATAATTGTTCCTTAGATAAACAGTGGACGTAGTAGATGGCAGCAATAAATTAAAAAACACTTTAACCACTGACACGAGAAGAAAATGTGACGATTCTTTTTCTTACTTTGTGTTTTTTATGACTTTACATGAGTAATGAGGCCCGCTGGCAGGCAGTCGCTTTGGGACTGGAAAGTCACAGGTTCGATTCCCAGCTATGCCCATAAGTTGTGGTGTCCACTGTCCAAAACCTTGAACAACTTGTCTTGTTTGAGCAAGACATCCATTCCCCGTGTGCCTAAACAGCTTCTCGCTGGTCCACCTGGATTCATCTTACATGAGATGGGTCCAATCCAGAGGACATTTTTCATCATTCTATGAACACATACATTCTTCTTCTTCTTTCGGCTTTTCCCTCATCAGGGGTCCCCACAACGAGTCCTCCTCCTCCATCTCACTCTGTCCTCTGTGTCCTCTGTCCTCACTCCAACTACCTCCATGTCCTCTCTAACTGCATCATGTGTCTCCTCTTTGTCTTTTTCCTGCAGCTGCATTTCTAACATCCTTCTACCAATATACCCACTGTCCCTCCTCTGGACATGTCCAAACCACTGTCCCTCCTCTGGACATGTCCAAACCACTGTCCCTCCTCTAGACATGTCCAAACCACTGTCCCTCCTCTGGACATGTCCAAACCACTGTTCCTCCTCTGGACATGTCCAAACCACTGTCCCTCCTCTAGACATGTCCAAACCACTGTCCCTCCTCTGGACATGTCCAAGCCATCTCAGTGTGTCCTCCCTAACTTTATCTCCCAGGTGTTCAACCTGTGCTGTACCTCTGATGATCTCATTCCTGATCTTCTCCATCCTTGTCTCTCCTAAGAAGAACCTCAACATCTTCATTTCTGACACTTCCAGTTCTGTCTCCTGTCTTTTTGTCCATGTCTCTGTCTCCAGACCATACAACACAGCTGGTCTCACCACTGTCTTGTAAACTTTTCCTTTGACCTTTGCTGACACCCTTTTGTCACAAATCACTCCTGAAACTTTTCTCCATCACTCCATCCTGCCTGGACTCTCTTCTTCACCTCTTCACCACACTCCCCATGTTCCTGGACAGTGGACCCCAAGTCCTTGAAGTCCTGCACCTTTGTGACCTCTGCTCCTTGTAGCCTCACTGTTCCACCTCCTCCCTCTCATTCACACACATGGACTCTGTCTTACTACGACTGGCTTTCCTTCCTCTTCTTGCAAGTGCATACCTCCACCTCTCCAAGTTCTCTTCCACCTGTTCCCTGTTCTCACCACAGATCACAACGTCATCTGCAAACATCATAGTCCACGAGGAACACAGTGTATGAGCACATACTGTACATTGATGATATACATTGATGATAACAAACAGCACTTTCACTTCAGTCACTGTTTATTGGTTAAGACCCTCCTGTCTACTACGACACAAAAACTGGTGAAAGTTCAGAGAACTGTGCTGCAAAGCTGATGATTGTTTAAGTCAGATAAATCTGACGAAGCAGTGACATCACAGTGTTTCACACAGTGACTCATTTAGCTCTTTAGCAGCTTTTTGTTTTATCTTCATTAGGGTTTTTATGTCTAATGTTAAAATGTGATTTTAACGGAGGATGACGGGTTTGTTTTGTTTTGTAGGAGGAGATAAGTTTTGATAATCTTCTCGTAAATCCTGATTTTAAAGCAGCAGAGAGTGACGTCATCTGTTGCTTGATACTTTTTACTGTTTTTTCCTGTTAAATGTTTGCAGCTGCTGGGTTTTGTTTCCAGGGTCACAGTGTGAATGTTCTGACCATAGACCACGTGACACCCCTTCACGAGGCTTGTCTTGCAGACCATGTTGCCTGTGCTAGAGCTCTCATCGATGCAGGAGCTAATGTAAGTCACGCAGTGGCCTGAAGACTCTTTAATGTTGCCACTCAGCAGAGGTCGTATGTCATGGATGGGAAACTCCAACAAATGAGCATGACGGTACTCTTCGTCTACAGACAAGTGCAGAGATCAATTGTTGCCCGTGGCTGTTGCCGTTAGTCAACTTGCATTAAACAAGAGCTAAGAATAACAATAAAGACAAAAATGTTTTTACAGGTCAACGTTTCTACAGTTGATGGAGTCACCCCTCTGTTCAATGCCTGTACAGTGGGCGGTGTGGCGTGCACTGAAATTCTTTTGGAAAATGGAGCAAAACCTCAGAGCCTCGTGTACCAACCTTCACCGATACACGTGGCGACCAGCAAAGGTAAAATGTGACGAAGTGATCTAGATTTAGCCGACGTTGGAGGATCAAAAACTGTCTTTAGGAGGTCAGAAGTTATGGAGGGAACTTTTACTTAATGAACAGCGTTGGGGTTAGCCTCCTTCTGCTGATGGTTCTCAATCATTTCCCTCATCTTCACTCACGTTGGAGCCTGTGTTTGGACTTGTGCCTGTGTCTTGTTTTGCTGCAATGTCCTTTTGAACAAAGCAGCAGTGTGAAGAACAGCTTTAAAAATAAATCCTAACACGACCTGAGCGGACAGCTTGAAGAATGATCTCACATCGTCACTTGCTGATTACTGCCTCCATGCCCCATTACTTGCAGGTCATTACGGTTGCGTGGAGGCCCTGGTGACTTGGGGGGCCGATGTGGACACGGACATTCCTCACCTGGGCACGGCGCTCTACACCGCCTGCGTCTGCCAAGAGCTGGAGTGTGCCAGGAAGCTCCTGAGGGAAGGTGAGCTCGCAGTACGTCTTCATACAGACAGCCACGGGTCCTGCAGGAGATGAACACACAGTATATGATACACACAAAGAATTAAAGGTGCGACATTTATTAAAGGGATGCACCCAGCACCAATTACAAGCTCAAAATCTGCTAAACTGGCTGAGTTACAGCCTCTACGGTGTTTTCTATGATCTTTTAGAGGTGGAAGCGATCATGATTTATGTTGACTTCAAAAGTTCTTCAGTTGTAGAAGTCAACGCAACGACTGTTGTGTTCCGTTGAGAAGAAGGACGCCGCTTCTTCTGCATTCAACACCACTTTTACTGTAGTTTATCATTGTCATTGTCTACTGTTTTGTTGTCTGAACTTTACATGTTCTGTCTGGAACAGGTCCCTCTTGCAAATGAGTCCCCATGGCTCAATGAGGCTGTAGAAATAAAGGTTGAATTAATTAATTTTGTTTGTGACACCTGCATTAACCATTTCTTCTTCTACTTCTTTATAGCCTAGCTTCAATATGTGAGCAATAGCTATACTGACACCTAGTGGCTAAAAGTGGTATTGACCCATCATTACACCAACTACTTTCAAAAATGTTAAATTCTGAGACGTTTTCCAGACAGTGCAGGCAAATAAACATACAGTCACATAAAGGTACTAAAGAAGAAAAATGTGTTTATCATATATTTAAATCCTCTGAAAGAAATATATAGACATGATGTGCAAAAAATGTATAACCAATTAAGATGGCACCTCCTGGTTTAAGTAAACCAATATCCATCATTAGCAGAACGTTTGCTGCAAGGCGTTGATTTAAGTGTAACTATAGAAATGTGTTGTCTCTGCTCACAGTTTCAGGAGTGTTGCCTTTGATTAAAGCTAATAAGTTCATTAAATTTCAAGGTTAATGGAAGATGTTTGAAACGCATTAAATGAAAGGTACCCGTAAACATAAAGTCACAGAATGAGGAGCAGATCTTTTGAATTATGAGAAGAGCCGTGGTATTAATTGTTCTAACTTCACTCTGCGCAGGTGCAAATGTACAGAAAGGCAGATCCCTGGATTCACCTTTACATGCAGCAGCAGAGAAAGACTGCACAGCTGTCGTAAAGCTGCTGCTGGATTTCGGTGCAGACGTTAACGCCAGAAACACGGAGTTCCAGAGGCCGGTAGATGTGGCTCCACCCAGCAGTCTAACAGAGGGCTTCCTGCTGCTTTACGAAGGTAACGGGTCACCTTCAGTGGCCTCTCACCTGTGACTGCACTGTGATTATTTCTAAACCTTTAAACGATAGTTTGAATGTGCTTCTCTTTCTAGCTACACCACGCCTCCTGAGCCAGCTGTGTCGTCAGTGCATCAGGAAGTGTGTCGGCCGTGACAGACTCCACCTGCTGTCCCACCTTCACCTCCCCAACAGGCTCAAGAGCTACCTGCAGTACCAGTGATGTGCAGAACCAACGAACCGTGTGCCTCAGCGGGACTTTAATGAGACGCCGTTAACTGAAGATGCCTATCAACGCCCATTATATTTTCACTGCTGTTGTTATTGTCAGCTCAGTAGAGTGTCTGGACATGAGGAACGCCGTGTGTGACAGCTGCACCGAGTCCCGTCCCGGGTGCATGTGAGGGAGAAACTGCTACTAACCAGGACTCCTGAGTTCATTCTGGTAGAAAACAGTCAAACAATGTGAACGCTGTATTAACACACTTTAGTCTGCCCGTGTGCACAGAGAATGTCTTGATACCTCCAGCAAACATAACCAGACAAAGTACTTTACATGAGAACTGTTACAGGATTAGAATATATAAATGAAACAACGTGAGTATTCTGCATTTCAAACTGTTAATTAAAATGTTGTTTGTGAAGCTGTAAAGTGAAAACGTTCTGCGGTTGAACACTGGACAAACGTTTTTATTCTGGGTTTTTTTTTACATTTCAGGTTTGAAACATCATTACATGACTTCATGACACATTAAAATATTCCCAATGTTATTACTATGATCATCAAATATTTCTCATTATTTTAAAATATTTTACTAAACCTTATTTTATGTTTAGAAGCAGTGCTGCCCTGTAAATGAATTGTATTTCCTTATTAGTTATTTTTCTCTAGAGGGCAGCAGTGATTTGTTGGGACCAGCAGAAGGAGGCGGTCGCCATGGCAACACAAACAAAAAGCAGCTCTGTGGGGGAAGTTGATGAGATTAGACTGTAACAACACGTTAATTAGCTCAGAGAACAAAGGCAGGTGTTATAAAAACTGAATATGAGCGCAGGAATCCCAGAACAGAAACATTTTAGTCTTTATTTATACATTCTGCACCTTGTCCCAAAAAGACAAAGCTCCTGAGACACTGACAACTGTCCTTATTTCAAGTGAAGAATGCAAACATCAGACATATATGTCCATCCATTATCTTTACCCTCTTCTTCCTTTTTGGGTCACTGGTGCCCACATCCAGCAGTCACTGTGAGAGAAGCAAGAGACACCTGGACCTGTCTCCAGTCCATCACAGGGACACCTGGACAGGTCTCCAGTCCATCACAGGGACACCTGGACCTGTCTCCAGTCCATCACAGGGACACCTGGACA